AAAAAGCTTCGCAATCTCGCCATGGCAAAGCATCGTGGCGAATCGAGCAAGGCGGGGCAAGCGAGACCATTGCCCCAAGCAATCGTAGGTGGGCTGCAAGTGCAAACTCGCTCTCATGCTGGTGGAGCCGCTCTTGAGGATCGTGGCAGCGAACATGATGAGTGAGAAGTTGTCTACTCTCCGCGAACGGAAGAGGCGCAATTTGGAGCGCCAACAGCGAAAAAGAGCCATAAGGAGAGACTCACGGCGTCGGAAACCCTCCTATATGTTCTTAAAGCGAGCTTGGAGGAACTCTACCAAGGCCAACGAAGGCTTCTTGGGGTAGAGAGCTCGTAAGAAGAAGCTGAATCCCGAATCGACAAGGTTGAGGCCCTAGTCAATCGACTGACGGACGATACCAAAGACTCTATGCAACATTTGCATGAAGTCATGACGAAACTCACTTCCAGAGTAACAACGCTCATAAGGGCACTAAATGCGAGAGGCAGCAACACCCGCGTTGCGCCGCCACAAAACTTGAGGGCACCTGAGCCTCATTGCTATAGAGGTGCTAGGGACACAAAGGAGCTCGACAATTTCTTGTTTGATATGGAACAACACTTTCGAACTACAAGGCTCGTTCTGAAGATACCAAAGTTTCAATAACAACCATGTATTTAAATGGGGATGCAAAACTTTGGTGGCGAACCCGTTGGGAGGAGATCCAACAAGGTCAGTGTCAAGTAGACACATGGGAGGACTTGAAGCGGGAGTTGAGGACAGAGTTCCTACCCGAGAACACAGAGTTCATCACAAGGAGGAAGCTGAGACAACTCCGCCAAAGTACTTCCATTCGAGACTATGTGAAGCAATTTTCTGCACTAATGCTGGATATCCAGGACATGTCCAAGAAGGATAAGAAGCTATTCAGTTTCTTCGATGGTTTGAAGCCATGGGCACAATAAGAACTGCATCGAAGGAATGTCACCGATGTGATTGGGGCAATTACGACCGCAGAAAGGCTCACCGACTTTGTTTCCTCAGAGGACTTAGGGAAAACGAAACAATCTTCAGGAAATCGCCCTCCAAAATATTCTCGAGGGAAGGAGCCCGGGGGCGATCAAAGAAAGAAGAGTTCCTACAAAGGGCCAAGCTCAAAAGGCAAGGCGCCAAAACCTGGCAGATGCTTCTTGTGCAGAGGACTGCACATAGTGAGGGAGTGCCCACAAAAACAAGCACTCAATGCCTTAACAGCTTCAATCCACGGCCCCAAATCAGACAAGGGCAAGGCCGTCGCTTTTAGTTCGAGTAGTTCAGAATCCAACAGAGACGATGAAGAGTCACAAGGACCCCGGATGAGGAGTCGCAAGACCCCGGATGGGAGCAATGCGTTTGTTGAATGCTTTGTGGGGTCAAGTGGGGGAGAAAACGAAAACAAAGTCATATAAAGCAAGGAGCAATGAGTTGATGTATGTGGACATTAAGCTCAATGGCCAAACAACCCATGCAATGGAGGACATGGGCGCTACCCACAACTTTATTGTCGATCGGGAAGTAAAGCCACTGGATGACTTCCAAGTGATTCTCGGAATGGAGTTCATGCACGTGGCGAAATTAATGCCAATGTCGTTCCTGAACTCCTTATGTCTGATGGGAGGCGATGACCCCCGTGTGGTTCCCATCTCTCGGAGTGGAACCAAAGACCCCCAACAAATATCGACATTACAACTAAAGAAAAGGGTACGAAAAGGCGAATTAACATTCGTGGCTACTGTGAAGATAGAACCACTCGACGGGGAGGTCATTCATGAACCTACTGTGGTGGCGAACGTTCTAAAGGAGTTCACAGATGTTATGCCACCCAAGTTACCAAAAACTCTGCCACCACATAGGATCATTATATCAAGCTGGAGCCAAGAGTGAAGCCTCCAGCGAGACCACCCTGCCGCATGTCCCCCCTCCCAGAATTGGCAGAGTTCAAAAAGCAATTAGATGAACTAGTAAGCGGTGATCTCATCCGTAGTTCTAAAGCACCATTCGGAGCTCCAGTTCTCTTCCAAAAGAAACAAGATGAGAGCCTCCGACTATGTGTCGACTATCGAGCCCTCAACAAGGTGATGGTGAAGAACAAGTATCCCATCTCGCTCATCACGGACTTGTTCGACCAACTGGGCAAAGCAAAGTACTTCTCCAAACTCGACCTTCGGTCGAGGTACTAGCAGGTGCGCATTGCTGAAGGCGACGAAACGAAGACTACTTGCATGACTAGGTACGAATCGTTTGAGTTCTCGGTGATGTCTTTTGGCTTAACCAACGCTTCGGCCACATTCTGCACTCTTATGAACCAACTATTCAAGGAGTATCTGGATAAGTTTGTCGTCGTTTACTTGGACGATATCGTCGTCTACAGCCGAACGCTTGAGGAGCATGTCGAGCACCTTCATACAATTTTCAAGGTTCTCAGGGAGAACACTTTGTTCGTGAAAAGGAAGAAGTGCTACTTTGCTCAAACGAAGATCTTATTTTTGGGGCATCGAATCGGTGATAGTTCCATTCGAATGGACTAATCAAAGGTGCAAGTTGTTGCAGAATGGTAAACTCCAAAAGAATGTGCCGGAGCTGAGATCCTTCCTTGGTTTCATCAACTACTACCAATGCTTCATAGTTGGGTGTTCGAAGCGCACAACTCCACTGGGGGGGAGTTGCTGAAGGAGCAGCCTTGGAAATGGTCTGACAAATGTGAAGCTACATTCCAAGATCTAAAGGTTGTTGTGTTGAAAGAACCAGTGCTTAAATTGCGAGACTATGGGGAGCCCTTCGAAGCCCAAAAAAATGCTTCGGATTTTGCTATTGCAGTACTCATGCAGGAGGGTCACCCGGTGGCCTACGAGAGCCGCAAGCTCAACGAGACCGAGCGGCAATATCTGGTGCACGAGAAGGAGATGATAGCGATGGTTCACTGTCTATGAGTTTGGCGACACTATCTTCTCGGATCGCGATTTGTGCTGAGAACAGACAACATCACTTTGAGTTACTTCCAAACTAAAAAAAAACTCTCCCCGAAGCAAGCACGATGGCAGGACTTCCTAGCCGAATTTGAAATGACAATGGAGTACAAGCCCGAAAGAGCAAATGTCGTGGTCGATGCGCTGAGCCGAAAAGTGGAGTGGGTGAATGCCATGCAACTGGAAGGCGAAGGTCAAGCAAGTCAGCTGCACTCCAACTTCCTTTCAAGACTCAGGGATGGACTATACAGTGATCCCCAGGCAGTAACCCTGATGCAACTAATCATAGAAGGCAAGGCACGATGATTTTGGATCCATGAGAGACTCGTCTACACCAAAGGGAATAGGGTTTATGTTCCTCGAGTGGATAATTTGAGGCGTGAACTCCTGAGAAAGTGTCACGATTCCCTTTGGGCAGGATATCCGGGCATTCACCGAACATTGGCTCTCGTGGAGAGTGCCTTCTACTGGCCGAAGATGGGGACTGATGTGGAGGAATATGTTCGAACGTGTCTTACTTGTCAACAAGATGAGGTGGAGCAACGGAAGCTAGTGGAACTTTTGGAGTCGTTGTCCGTACCAGAAAGGTCGTGGGAGAGCATTTCCTTGGACTTCATATTAAGCTTGCCAGCGGTAGGGGTACTCAGATCGATACTTGTGTTGGTCGATCGATTTTCAAAGTATACAACTTTCATTGCTGCACCTCTACACTGTTTAGCAGAAGAGGCGGCCAAGCTGATGATAAAGAATATAGTGAAGTATTGGGGAGTCCCACACAATATCATCAATGATCGAGACACTCGATTCCTAGGACGATTCTGGACCGAGCTACTCAAATTGTTAGGATCTAAGTTATACTTCTCCACAAGCCTCCACCCACAGACGGATGGCCAAATCGAAAGGATAAACTCGCTCATTGAGCAATATCTTCGGCACTACGTGAGTGCCAACCAACGAGATTGGGTGAAGCCGTTAGACATAGCCCAATTCTCCTATAACTTGCAGCGGAGCTCTATATCTAACAAGAGCCCCTTCGAGATCATTACAGGACAACAGTCGTTGACTCCTCACACGTTGGCTATCGGGTATACTGGGAGTAATCCGTCAGCATATCACTTTACAAAAGAATGGCACCAAAATACAGATATTGAGCGACCTTACTCGGAGAAGGCAACAAAAAAGATAAAGAAATGGATAGACTTGGGAAGGCGACTACAAGAGTTCAAAGTCGGCGATTTAGTATTGGTGAAGCTTCAACCAACATCACTCCAATTCTTTAGGCACAAAGTACATAAAGGATTGGTGCGCAAGTATGAAGGGTCGTTCCCAATTATCAGTGGGGTGGGCAACGTCTCCTATAAGTTGCAACCACCAGCGTGGCTCAAAATCTACAATGTTTTTCACGCCAGCAACTTGAAAGCCTACCATTCAGATCCGCAAGATGATTCCCGAAGTGTTCCAACTCGACTACCCCCTACCAGAGCCTCCTACGAGAAGCGAGTTGAAACCATTTTAGCGGATCGCAAGATAAAGCTACCCAATGGAGCTAAGCAGACCGAGTACTTGGTGAAGTGGTGAAAGCTTCCCCGAACTGAAGCCAGTTGGGAACCCGAAGATGCCCTACGGCATGAAGAAGCAGTCGTCAACAACTACCAACAAGCGTCGACGAGGAAGTCGACAGTTTACGTGGGGGAGAATGTTACAAACAATCGTCACGCACCCGCAACAACTTCGTTCAACGAACCGTCCATCGCTTTTGCATGCTTGTACAGAGACATGGCAGTATGTTTTGCCTTGGTTTTATGTGTTTTTGCTTGAAAAATATAAGCAACAATAGTTCGTAGCGTTATAGTGCGACCACTCACTGCGCCAGGCCGAACTGCCCCAAAATGGCTCTGTTTTCGTGTGCCACGGCTTGTTTTCTGCAAACTGTAGCTGCACACGAAACCTCAACCATCTCAGCACCATGGAACCCCCCAAGTGGCAAAGGGCTGGATGGGGCTTCGGTATATTGTCGAACGTTGAATAATCTTCACAAGTTCGCACATTAACTTGACGAGAACTTGCCTTCACGCCCGGCACTCCGTGAGCAGTTGTTTGTGGTCTTACAACTGTTCGTTCTACCTTCTAAAGTCCTTGTTTTCTCCTTCCACTCTTTTCTCTCTTGCACTCAAGGTGCTCGCCAAATTGCTTGTAAAGCTTCCCTCTTCGCGAGACGTTGGGACTTGTCCGTCACTCGTTTTCAATCTAATCAACTTTCTGTTTTACAGGTCCTTCGGGACCTATACGAGGTTGTAACTAGGCTGACCCTTTGCGGATGCATATGTCGCAAGGGCGCCTTATGACTTAGGCAATCCCAACTAAGTCCGAGGAGTTAGCGCAAGGGTGCTTCACGATTTAGGCAACTTCAGCTAAGGCCGTGACTTTGCCGCAAGGGTTCCTTACGACTTAGGCAATTCCAGCTAAGTCTGTGACAATACGAGCAGAAACACGAAGCAACGTCACCTTGTCGCCCTATTTTGCGCGGGGAGAAGGAAACCACGGTTTCTTCTCCCATGCAGGTAAAAACACGAGGGGATGTCGCCTCGTCGCCCTATTTTGCGCGGGGAAAGACCTCAGTTTCTTCTCCCTATGCAGGCAAAAACATGAGGCGACGTCGCCTCGTCACCCTGTTTTGCACGAGAAGAAACTGACCTCGGTTTCTTCTCCCACGAGGACAAAAACATGAGGCGACGTTGCCTCGTTGCCCTGTTTTGTATGGGGAGAAGGAAACCTCGGTTTCTTCTCCCCACGCAAGCAAAAACACGAGGTGACGTCGCTTTTGTTTTTTTACTTTATATATATACTGAGCAGTACGCTAGAACATACTGCTTGGTATACTTGTACCGTTCTATACCGAGTTGAACTCGAAACTCTGGTACGGTACGAAATTACAAACCTTGGTTTTAAGTATGAATAGTTCTAGTATTTAATTTAGATTGATCTCTATCATATCAGAAAACATTAATTTAAAAACTATTTGAGCATCCAAGTAGTCATTTGCCTAGATTGAGGCAGCCTACGACTTCAATTTACCCCACAGATGGTGCCCCAACAGACATCTATTCCAACAAAGTAATTCCTTGCTCTTGTATCTCAGGATAAAGTCATAAAAAAAACAAATAAAGCCTTCTCCCACAATCCCACCCATGGCTCAACTTACCGGTTTAAACTAGTGTATCGACCGATTATCGATACGGTATGTACCGAACTGTACCGAGTATATCGCTACATGGTACGGTGGGGCATACCGTCTCAGTACAATGAACCTTGGTCCCACCTACTGACTGGCATCAACTCCCTACCTGCTATTATTAATTTATTTTTGTAACTTGAACTTTCTCTACATACTTTATTGTATTTACATCCATTTTATTGTAGGTTTTGCCGTTTTGGCCTCTTCTTTAAAACCTCCTCTAGAGGAACTTATGTGTACAAAATTTCATAAGAAATTATTAGTCGACATGCATCAATATCCATGCAACACAACCAAGTGTTTGGGAACATGAGCCATAGGTTATTAGTTGTTTCATAAGTAACCAGGTATTGCCTCTGCGATCTGCAAGGCCAGATGCTCCAGCTTATATTTGCATCACATCAAAAGCATGTCCACACCTTTTTAGACAACAAAATTCATTGTAACCCAGGCATACATTCTGGAAACATGCTAGTATGCTACAATGGATATCATGTAAACAATGTATTGATTCCTGAAAAGCTACTCACCAGATTTAATATATCCTCCAAACTGCAGATCTTCAATCTTAGGAGGTAACAAGACAGCTCTTTTACTGAGAGACCAGATCAGTAAAAATGTAGTAATATACCTGAAAATCTTAAAAGGTCAAGACCAATACAAGATAAATAACAAAAAAAAACGCAAAACTACTGAAATACTATAGCGGAGTTTAAATGATAGCATCAAAACTAACGACTCTACTTCAAACAGCTGTATAAACATGCATTTTAAACATACTACGCATATATAAAAGAAGCTGAAGCTAATTACATCCCTAGGAGGCGGCCCAGTCAAATAGGCTCTTGCCAATTCAGAATCTAGGAAGGCAAAGATCAACAACCTTACGGCAAGTGGAGAAATTGTATCCATAACTCCAAGCCTAGACACCCAGGTAACAAAAGAGCAAACTTATCGTTGCTCCAAGTTTGACCTCCATCATTTTGATAAATTGTCAAAGAAAACTAAGATACAAGAGAGTTCTTGTAATGCAATAAGATGACAAAATTATAAGTTGAAAGCATATTGTGAATCAAGAACCCAAGACCAACCAGAAAGATGCTGCTGAAGTTTCCTGAATTACACTGAAGTGACCAGAAAAAATATCATTATATGCATAATCGGTCTATATTGCAAGTTATACAAGGAAAAGGAAGTATTGGTCAATAGTCAATACGACCCTATTGCTATAATAAAATCAGGGGTCAATCCAAGGCTTGCTGACAGGCCCTATAATAAAATCATAGGTCAGAGCACTAATGCACCGAAATTTCTATTATCATTTGGCTTATTGATGGGTCCAAATAGTGAGAGTGAACAAATCAAGAACTTATTGGGATGCAATAGTGGCAATAGTGAGAGTGAACACTATTGCCACAGCCCCTAGTGAGAGTGAACAAATCCTAGGCTTGCTGACAGCCCCTATAATAAAATCATAGGTCAGAGCACTAATGCACCGAAATATCTATTATCATTTGGCATATTGATGGGCCCAAATAGTGAGTGTGAACAAATCTAGAACTTACTGGGATGCAATAGTGGCAATAGCAGCTCCAACAATGCCAAGGTGGAAAGAATATACAAGTATCGGGAGTAAAAGAACAGCTGAAATATTGCCCAGCCCTGCACATGTAACAAAAGAATGACTTGCAAACACTTTGCCCTACCAAAAAAATATGAATATATCTAAAAGTTTTAATTGCAATTTAACTGAAACCATCCTTTTTTCTTTTGGTGGTGGTGGCAGAGAGGGTAACATCAAACTTCAATTACTTACAGACTGCCAGATTACATGCAACACTTATAATGGTAATCATTTTAACTCTAATTCAGCAATAAGGCAATCCAACATCGGATGAGATAACTAGACTAAATGGTATCATTTGTCTCGATTTCTGCATTAAAAACTCGAAACAAACAATAAAACCAAAGATCACAAATATATCATAAATAGTGTTCTTGTGTCACTCCTCAGTTTTCCCTAGAATAAAGAAGTTTCAAATATTGCGAAAATTCAGATACTTTTTGGCAATAATTCCATAATGTAAATAGTCTATGTCACAAGTAAGCAAAATAGAGCTCGATTTCTAGAAAAAAATATATTTTTTGCACTTTCTGATGCTACAAGCAACATTCATAAGCTTCTTAATATGCATAGATTATCAAATTATCTAAAACATGAGGACTGCAGTTTTGTTAATGTTTTAGTGCATACATTTCTAAATTTCCAAATTCATATTAACAACCACATTGAATCTAAAAGGAAATTATTACAATTTGATTATACTCCATAAACAATTAGATTACAGATTAATATATAGCTATATAATCTTTGAGTCATTTTCCTTTTCCTATTCTGGCCAAAAAAAAGATACCTCACTTCCCTCAAACAAGATAGTTCGCCAGCATGGTAAAAACAATATTTCCTCAACTTTTAACAATAGGTCAACTGTCAAAAAAGCCCAGGACGTTTTCATTTTTCTTTATTTCATATAAGACTGGAAGGACTAAACACTTGGGTATGCTTAATATTGATAACTGATGACGAAAAACTTCAAAAGTGGTACCTAAAAGACATGGCAAGGGATCTGCCAAAACCATCATGATCACTGCACCTAATAATATTATAAATAAATCAACCAGTTGCCTTAACCTTATGTTGTTGTTTAAGAGTTTTAAGTAACAGTAGATAATATCACTTTGTTAAATACATTGTGAAGATGATCATGGTAGTGACAGCAGTCAGAGAACTCTATGTGAAGCATCCACTTATGGAATCACGTGTGAGGCACTTGAATGTCATTCCCCTTATATCAGAAAGCGCAAACAGCTACATGCTGAAATCTAATACAGTTTTTTAAGTCACAATACAATTGTAGTTCAGCAAGTGATATTAACAAGTTCTACAAATTGTAAATGGTGTTCTAATCAGGAAGCACATATAAATAATTAGGTCATAGACTTGCCTACACAAAGCAGAGGTGTCTTTGTATCCTTGAAACCACGAAAGACACCTTGAACTGCCAGAGAAATTACAACTGCAGGAGCCCCCAAGGCTCTTAAACATAGAAACAGCTGAGATGGTTTATGCATAGGTGAAACCTGTTCAGAGAATGAGCTTCATGAAATGTTCATTTGTTAGATAATAATGCACGTGAAACATTAAACCAATATCCACAACAAATATAAGTAGTTTCCTGAACAAAGGAATTAACTTTATCTCAATTCCTGAAGACTCAAAAAATCATGTACTTGTGTAATGACGCCTATGATCAAATGATAACTGAAAACAAAAACAAGAGAGGCATTTCAATCAATGATCCACAAACTTACAACTGACACACCCATCACATTGAGAAATAATCCAGCCCCAAAGAATAAAGCAAAAGCTTCAATTGTACCAATTACTGCAGCAAGAAGTATGGCACTCGAGACAGATGGCAGTTTCAATCTCCCCACCTTCTCATCAGAAACCTTTTTAACCATAAAAATCCCTTCTTGTAGGTCATTACCTGTAAATCCACCATATAGAAGTCAGCTAGGAAGCAATCACCTCAAATTTCAACAGCAAAAGTGCCATTCTGCCATATAATACCTGATATATATTGCTCACTAGCAGTTTTTGAGATGTCTTCTGCCACAAATGAAGTTGTAATGCTCAAAAGTGGAACATTGAAGAGTTTTGAGATGATGTTGAAAATTGAAACCGACACCCCAGCTGAAGCCAACTCCACAGGACCTTCAATATTTAATTCAAGCCAGAATGAATCAGAAAGTTACTGTGACATTCCAACAACTGGAGAATGGTCGGATAGCTAATCATGCATTATAAAAGTATATGCTCAGCATTATAAACTAAGAATTTGATCTGAAATAGTTGGGATATCATCATATCAGCATGAAGCTTTATACTGTTGACAAGAAAACAATTGTAAGAAAATAAACTCTCTTGTAAGCAAAGTATTGCAAGTTGCCATCAGCACGATAATCTAGTAGTCTACCTGATCAACATCCCACATAGACATCCTGAGCTATTAAAATTAGCAAGAGACAGCTAGTAGAAGTTTGTATACTCGCCAAGCATTTATAAGTTGCAGATTTCACCAAGATTATGCTTTTGCTCTCCTTGGAGGTTATATTCGCTCCATTAACTTATCATTGACATTATGTAAAGATCTCGGAGCTCAAAAAAGTATACCAAGAAGAGAATAACTTAGTAGGCTTCAACTCTCTAAATTTTCAACATAAATCATAAACAGTGATCATCATGATAATAAGCTTGTAACTTGTAAGTTGCTTATGTCTATACAGTGGATAACAGAAAAAGAAATCCAGATTCACAAATTCGTCTAAATTTGTAAAAGATCTAAAATTATATGATATTCAGCTAATAATATTGAATGTTTATCTGTTAGTAGAAAAAGAACCATGAAATGAACATAAAAAGTATGTTTATACTTTCATTATAAGTTTTAGGTAAACTAAAAATAATTGAAGTTTTTTAGAACAATTAGCAACTTAGATTTTAAGCCTTATTTCTCTACTATCCTATATTTCTTCTCATCTTAAATCATTTGCTTCTGTTCCTTATTATATTATGTAATATTTATACTGTAACATCAAACCATCTGATGATTACTCAATTTTATACAGTCAAATGCCCCACATTGATTGTGTCAGAAACCTTCTTCCCTTTTGAAACCCTTGGATTAAAGGATGGGTCAGTCACAAGGCTCTCTCTGATGTGGGGTCCTGGAGGATCAACATATGAAACCATACCCCTCAAATAGATATATTATTTCCGCGTCTCAAACCTTGTTACCTAAACTGTAAAATAGCAATTTTACCTTGATACCGAGACCCATCCTCTGTGGAAACCTCTGGATTGTACTAGCTAAAGACAACAGCAGCAAAGGATTGGTGGACTAAACAGGCTAAATTTCTTTAATAAAAAATAATTCGTGCTTCATTAGTATCTAATTAGTTAAAAAATGAAAAAAAAATTAAACAAGCTAGCAATACATGCATTTTGTATAGCAAGCATAGATTTGAGTTTTGGCCCATGTCAAATACCAGTCATATTGTACCAAGTTGAATAGATGAGAATTTCTTTGAACCAGAAAACATGCCATATTATACTGGCTAGCATAATAAAGAAATGAGCTCTTGACCCATGCTTGTCGTATTGTACCATACTAGCTTGATATCATCATAGTAATAACTAATAAGCATCGTACTAAGGCTGTGCCAACATTTGGACTGGTATGGCATAAAGCCCTTGCAGTTGGCGTATGAACCTGTGCTAACCAACCAACACATATCATGCTCATCCATCACATGACACCCACAAGCTACCAAAAGAAAACCCTGTAGGAACCTGTAGCATGCCAAGGTTGCAGTAATGTTGTGGGGTTTTGACATAGATCCGATGGTGACATGGACCCCATGTTGATCCACACCAATTTTTGACATTTGAAACCTCAAGTATCTTATTCTAACATATATCAGGATCTCCATGCCCCTGTCTATCGAGATTCAAGACCTCAAATACCAACTTGTTCAAAAATTTCTTCAAGGAAGAGAAAGTACCATTGTATCATATACATATATGTATTCACTAGTCCAGCTACTCTTGTCAGTTTCAACATAAAAAAGCAAACCTAATCACAACAAAATGTTGGACAATCATAAGTCAATCACTATCATAAGCATAGATATAAATTACTAAATAAAAACTTATTCATCCAAGAAAATCCAAGATGGAAGTATGTAGGCAAAAAAACAAAAAAAAAATGAAAGTGGAAGAGACCAAACTATAGAAAAAAAAAAAAAAACTTGCAGCAAATCATGCTCGAAAACAAAGATAAAATGTATCAGAAAATATAAATAGTACCTAATCTGCCAATATATGCTGTCTCCATCAATTGTGCCAATGGATCAATAGCCTGCCCAATAATAGCCGGTAAGGCAAGAAGTATAAGCTCATTTTTTACAGTACCAGGATGTAATCCATTGTTAGGACCTCCAACAATCTTACTGAAAAGAAAATGGAACATTTATTAGAAATAGATTTATGAAAACAACAAAATTTAGAATTTAGAATCATCATAAGACAGCAAGGAACATCTCTTCCTGAAATGCATACACTATTACACTCCATGCATCTTTTCTTTCCTATTGATCTTCATGAGCAAACATGGAGTTCACCAGAAGTCCAGAACCAGATAATGAAGGAATCAAAATGATGGCTCACACTCTCACTAACAAAAAAGAACTAATAAAAGGTCATAACACCAATCATACAACATGCTGTGAGTTCATGGTTGCAGCCTGCACATAGAGGCTGTAAACAAGCATGAAACAAATATTAAGATTATATTGACAATCTTCAAACCAACTTGAATCATGAGCACTCAAAGTCAACTGCCTAGTCTATAGTCATTAATGTTGAATCTCGGATTTTGATGATGAAATCAATTGTCATTTGTTATCTAATCCATATGTTGAGATAAGTGTGCAGGATTAACTACGATGGAAGAAAGACATGCAGCAGGAGTTGCGCCGGAGTCAAGACTATGATCACGTTGGGAGTTCGAGAGTTCGACAAAACTCCGGACGATCGTCGGAGGTTCTGCGGGAACAAATCCGAGAAGTATAGGAGCTTGCCAAAGAAGCTCGTTGGAACTCGCCAAGTGGATCATCACAAGTCCAGGAGTTTGCTGGAAGTCCACCGGAGCATCGCCGAAGGTTCGTCGGATGTTCGCCGGAAGCTCGTCGGAAGAAGCGATTGACGCACCAGAGCAAGTTGTAGTAAATGTCTTAAGAAATGTCGTAGTTAGCATGTAGATTAAGTTAGGAATGGGAGGTGATCCCATTAACTTAATCTGGGGGCAATTGGGCCCTTGACAGACCCAAATTGGGTCGAATGGA